AGAGAGAGATAGATAGATAGAGAGAGAGAGGGGGGAGGGAGAGAGATAAGTATGAGAGAGAGATGGGAGAGAGAAGAAAGAGATATACGAGAGAGATAGAGATAGATAGATAGATAGATAGATAGATAAAGAGAGAGAGAGAGAGAGAGAGGGAGAGAGAGAGAAAGAAAGAGAGAGAGAGAGAGAGAGAGAGTGTGTGTGTGTGTGTGTGTGTGTGTGTGTGTGTGTGTGTGTGTGAAAGATCTCCCGATTGGACAGTTTATGGGAGTGGAATCAACAGCATGGATTCCAGGAAGTGAAAGATCAAAGGTAAAACCAAGGTAAAACTAAGACAATGAGGATTTCAGCTGTTGTGAAAGAAAATCGATCATCCCAGTCAGTCGTGAGTGCACCGAAAACTTCTACGCTATACTGGGCTGTCTCCCTCCCTCGGTCTACCGGTTTTGTCCTCTACTGTATAATAGGCCTACTAAATGCTGATTCATCTCCGCACCGAACCGTTATCCAACTTGTCGCTTACACCACTTGAAACGGACCGCGACAGGTCGAACATCGTACAACGATCGATGAGAACGTCATGTCTTTTACGAGGATCTTCACTGCTACTGCCTTGTCTCCCCCCTCCCCCTCTCTCATCTCTCTCTCTCTCCCTCTCACACACACACTGTCACACACACCCGCGCCCGCCGCACACACACCAAACACACACACACTCTCTCTCTCGCTCTCTGGGTCTTGAACGTCCGCTTCTCGCGCCATCAGGTCACATCCGGTGAATGAATAGAATGTAGGTCAGGAAATATGGCAGGAATAGGGGATGTGCGAGTGGAGGAGAGTTTACGAGTGAAAATTGGTAAGTTTTTAAACCATAAGAAAAAAGTTTAGCTAAGTGTCACGTAGTGGTATCTTGAAATATCAACCTCGGGTTTTCAAAAGTTATTTTTCTCCTTTGATTTGTATTTAGCTTCGCAGCAGGCTTCATCGATAGGCCTATCGTGTCCTGCTCACCACAGTCTCAGTCAACCACAAACAACACATTCACGCATGACTCTCTCTATACACACATGCATTGAATCGGTCTCCGCCTACTTGCTGTTACTGGTTGCACGTTTCTAGAATTCGGTTCGACCCCAAAATTATCAAAGCACGATATAGATCTTCTAGATCTATAATCGCGACATAGATCTAGGTTTTTGATAGTTTTATTGTTGTTATCTGAGGAGGGGGTTAGGCCAGTTAGAGGGGTTAGTCTACTTTTATATTTTGGAACCCGAACACTTGTTGGAAAGTTGTAAACAATAGCCGATCTTTCATCATCATCATTCACCACCCAGCGCGGCAGCAGGTTTGCTGATTGGTGTCCGTGGATTTCAGAAAGGCTTAATAATACCTCAGGCATACCACTGACCTGGGAATCCTCTCTCTGCTCCTTGCCTGAATACCTCCCTTCTTTTCGTTTGTTTAGTCTTTTGATGTGGGTGAATTATTCTATATATATGTCGTAGTATATTGTGGAGTCCACTTCACAAGCATTGGCATTGCAGTGGAGAATAGGGGCATGGCATAACATAGAGATTCCAGATCTAGTTAAACTGCAGCAACATGTTTTAAAACATTTCATCATATATATGGCATGGCTTCACTGGCATGAAGTGACTATTGTCTCAGAACACTCGGGAAAATACATTTGTGTCTTTTGACACTATTTCTCAGAACGGTTTCCTTCTCGAGATTTTTTGGTTGTATATGAGAGATTTGGGCATCATCTTTCATATAACCATTCTGCGAGGACTGGGAGGAAGCATTTTTTGCATCCAATTCAATTTCCAGAGCTAGAGATTTTTTTAGTCTGAATTCAGATACTTCAATTGTGGTAGGGGCAGCGTTCCCGGACTACTTCATTTGAAAATGCTTTCAAAAGGTACTGCGAGAAAACAAGACGACTCGAATTTGGCAGAAACCTGTTTGCATTTAGTCACCCCTAAAGCAAAAACTAAAATCCTTCATTGTAAAATGAAAAAAATCACTCCACGCCCCCCCGCCCGCCGTTCACACCTTATACACACACACACAAGCACGCGCATGCACACACTGCACAAGAAGTCGGCGATTAAACCAAATGATGTAGCCCATCGCGCGCTATGCGGCAAAGCGGGCTGGTCACGGTGAGATCTTGTCAGCTGGCGAGGAAAACCCTGGAAGACGACAAAAATAGATCGTGGAAATATGTCATATTTGGGCCTATCACAGAAGTGTGCTAGGTGCTAGCTTTAGCTTTATGTGTTCCTATTAGACCACCTGGAAAAGCTGTCAAATAGTAAACAATACATCATAGATATGGGAAGAAGGGAGGAATTCCATAACGAGCGACCAATTTGAAAAAGTGTGTGTATAAAAGAAGAATAGGGTTAAGGGTAAGGGTAGGAAAGGGTTAGGAGGGTTAGAGTCAGAGGTTTCCTCTTTATTGCATTTGTTGGGATGGTCGCTCGTTACGGAAGTCCTTCTGAGAAAGTTGAGACTGAAGTTGTCTATTTTAAGTCTAATTTGACTC